TATTTTATATGTAACAATTTTGTACTCTAATTTTTTTCTTAAGTGTGCAAATATAAAATTTAATTTGATTCTGGATAGCTCTTTAGAAATCTCATCAGAACCAATTCTGGCACGCCTAAAAAAAACTACTTCGACTGCATCTGAAGAAACATCACCAGTTATGATGAATGCGGATTGTCTCTGAAGAAAAATAAAGTTGTGTGCTTCTCAAATAACTCTCTCATCCAGCTTTGGAGTCAAGGTTCTGGGTTCTGAAGACCTGTCATTTCTCTACTGATAATCAAGTTTTGGCTCTGACAAAATCACTCTAAAAAGACTTAAGTGAAGATAATTTCAGACTTTGATACATCCTAGTACATTTATCTATAAGAATTCATACAACAGTACAATCCCAAATTGGTAAAAATTGATTGTGCGTCGATATTGTTAAGGAATATTTGTGAGACTTTACTACTTCTGTCTCCCACAATCTTCAGATTACCGTTATGGCAGCTGACACTGATAGTGACATTTGTACCCTCCAACATAAAACCATTGAGGCTATATAATGGAGTCACTACTTCACTACAAAATAGAACGAACAACATTGCAAGAGTGAAAATGCAAAGTCTTAAAATTCTACCAAGAGAGTATTCTCAAACATAAAGAATTGTTGCTCATATTTGTGTATTGTTGTTAATTTGTTTCATTCGCTTATCGGAAGCATTATTGTAAACACTTTCTTTGTAATCTCTTTGAAATTATATTTCCTCAAAGGACTAAGTGTTAGTTTGTATACTTGAGAGGGCTAAGGTGTTTTCTAACACTTATACGAACTTTTGTAATCTTTCAAGATTAGTGGATAAAGTCCTTATTGAAGGCAAAATCACCTTCGCGGGTGGATAAGACGTAGCCTCGTTATAAGAGAACTTGTATAAACCATACATGTCATTTTCTTTATGAGTGTGTATATCTTATTTGTGTATGTGTAAAGCATTCCTATCTAAAAAGTTTTGGAAACCCAATTCAAACTCCCTTTCTTGTGTTTTTCTCTACCTTCAATTGGTATCAAAGCTTCAACTTTGTTATTGATTTGTCAGCCAAACACTTACCATGTAGATAGATCCAGTGTGAGAAAAACACGATATGGCTGCTTCTAACAAAAACGAGAGAGACAGTTACAATGATAAGCCTCCTGTCTTTGACGGAGAGAAATTTGATTTCTGGAAAGATAGAATAGAAAGTTTCTTTCTAGGCTATGATGCTGATCTTTGGGATATTGTTATAAATGGCTATGGAATAGCTATATCTGTGATTGGTATCGCCATTCCTAGAAACATAATGAATGATGAAAAAAATGTGAGTTAAAGAATCACCACAAAGCCAGAACTATCCTTCTCAATGATATCTCTTATAATGAATATGAAAAGATTACTAACAGAGATACAACAAAGGATATTTTTGACTCGTTGAGAATGACACGTGAAGGAAATACTAAAGTCAAGGAAACTAAGGCTCTGGCCTCAATCCAGAAATATGAGGCATTCAAGATGGAAGACAACGAAACTATTAAGACTATGTTCTCAAGATTTCAAACCTTAGTAGCAGGACTTAAAATTCTGGACAAAGGTTACTCTACAACAGACCATGTCAAAAAGATCATAAGAAGCCTTCCTAAGAAATGGAGACCAATGGTTATTGCATTAAAGCTATCCAAGGATCTGAACAACACAAGCCTTGAAGAGTTGGTTAGCTCACTCAGAAGTCATGAAATAGAGTTAGAGGAAGATGAGCCTCAAAAAAAGGGAAAATTTATCGCTCTGAGATCTAGATCAGAAAGAAACAAGTCAGAAATGAACAAAACCTTCCAAGCTGAGGAAGAAAAAGTAGAAGATTCTGACGAAGAAGATTCTCGTGACAAAGATGAATTGTCCCTTCTCTACAGAAGAATCAAACAACTCTGGAAGAAAAGACAAAACAACTTACGAAGGTCCAGAAACATAAGAGATCGTCCAGATTCATCTTCAAAAGGTAAAACAAGCAAGGAAGTAACATGTTATAAATGCAAGGAGCTGGGACACTACAAAATTGTATCTCTAAAGCTTAAGAAAGAAAGCTCCAGAAAAGAAAGCTTCAAGAAGGATGTGTTCAAAGGCAAGAAGAAAGGTCTCATGGCAACCTGGGATGACTCTGACTCTAAAGTATCAGAATTTGATTATGAAGAGGAGCATGCCAACATAAAATTCATGGCTTCCACATCTAAGGGAAACACAATCGAAACAGAGTCTGACTCAGAAGAGGTATTCTCTGAAATTTCTCGTGGTGATTTAAAGTTATGTTTGTCTGAATCTCTGATTAGGTATCAGAAACTTCAACGCAAACATAAGGACCTAAAAAAGGATCATGAATATGAAGTTAAAGAGTGTATTAAGCTAGAGAAAGAAGTTTCTAAACAAAAAAGATAACAATCTTGTTTTGGAAAAAGAAAATGCTTTTCTTAAAAATAGATGTTTAAAACTTGAAGAAACTCTTTCTAAAGCTACTTCGTCTTCTAAAAAAGTCTTACATAAATATGGTAAGGCATTTTAGAAATTCTTGAACAATAACATAGACAGAAGCAAAGTGGTTTCCATGATCTATGGTGTTAGTCACAATGGGAAGAGAGGAATTGGTTATGATTTTGACAATGATGATCAGATCCCACTTCAAGAAAACAAACCAAAACCTCCCTACTCTTATCAATATACACCAGCACAACCACATAAATTTAATGCTGCACGAAAACCCAAGGTTGTCAAAAACTATGGGAAAACTAATCCAAGAGGACCCAAAAGATAAAATAGTATATGTTGCAGATATCCTATGCAACATAGTTAAAATACCAGTCACGGTACCTGGATTTTGGATGCTCACGACACATGGCAGAAAGAAAGCATATGTTCCAAAACCTGGAACTTAAAGATGTTGGGTACATAGGTTTCAGAGGAAACCAAAAAGGAAGAATCAAAGGATCTGGAACAGTTGAGCACTCTAAAGGCTACAAAGTATATAATATAGAAACATGTATTGTGGAAAAGTCAATCCATGTTAAATTCGACGATACGCTTGACTCAGAAAAGTCAAAGCTAGTTGAGAAATTTGTAGACCCAGAAATAAACCTTGAAGGTTCTAGAGAAAAGGAAAAAGAATCTGAGGACAAAGACTCAAAGGGTGCTCATAAAGATACATCAAAAGCAATTAAATGTCCAGCAATTCAGAAAAAGAAAAAGCATACAAAAACCATTTCTGAAGAATTTATTCTAAGAGACAAAGTTGAACTTGTCAGAACAAGATCCACATTCGTCTAGTAGAGCATTACCTTGTCGGGGAAGCTCACGCGCTTCCCCCATGGACTTTACGTGTTCTCCACGCGGAGACACGTCCTTAGACAACTACCCACTTCCGAAAGAGTTAGTAAACCCATATTCCAAAGATCACGGGGTAGTTGATCTATGGCGAAGACCACGTATTGGTATTGGGCTTGGCAATCTGGCCCAATGCAATGTAACCGTTGGCCCAGCACTGGTGACACATTATAAATATCCTCTTGCACTAGAGGGTCATGTATCTTACTCACTACACCTTTCCTCTGTACTTGCTCTCTCTCTAACTCCGTTACTCACTTAAGCATCGAAGCACCTTGCAGGTACACCCTCTCCTCCTCTACAACACCGGTGAACGCAACAACTAACGACGTGTGATAGGCTACTGATTCCTTTCTGATAAGATGAGATCAATAATATAACCAAAATATGGATAATCTAAATAACCGATTTATTTGAGCACCCCTAGTTACCATAAAGTTCTTCTTAAATCTGTTCCTAAAATTATTCTTCTGATAACTTCCTTTCTTTTGACTATCTTTCTCAAGATCAGGACACTCATTTTTGAAGTCACCAGGTTTGTTGCAATTGTAGCAGATCTTATCTTCATCTTTCTCTTTAGATCTTTTAAAGCCATTATTTTTTAGAGAATCTTCTGCTCCTTCTAGCCATTTCTTTAAATCCTCTGATGAAGCATGCCATATCATCATCATCAAATCTACCTTCGGAATCTTCTTTAGAATTTTCATCAGGCTTAGTGATCTTTGAAGGCCTTTTGGATCTTTCACCAGATTTTTCAGAAGCAGATCTCAGGGCAAGAGTTTTAGGTTTCTTTAAAGACTTCACTCTATTCAGTTCCATCTCATGGCTTTAAAGATTGCTGATTATACTTTCAAGAGATAACATATTCAGGTATTTGGCTTCCTGAATAGTTGTTACTTTAGGTCTAAACTTTAAAGAGAAACTTCTCAGAATCTTTTTGACATGATCTGAGGTAGAGTAACTCTTATTTAACACTTGAAGGTCTGATACAAGAATTCTGATTTTTTTTATTTGAAAAAAATCAATTCATTTCTTTTAAAAAATCTATTTTTAACTATTTTAAAAAAAATCTATTTTTAGTTATTTTAAAAAAAATAAATCTAACGAAAATAAAAATAATCCATTAGATTCTTAAAATATGTTGGATGGATTGAATCCATCCATGCATATAATGGATGTATTTAATCCAATCCATTAACTTATTTTTTATGTGGTGGATGGATTGGATGGATATTCTGATGGATGGATTTGATGGATTTTGTCTTAATGGATCCAATTGTCACCTCTAATCTGAAGTATAAAATTTCTCGCTGACTTTTATATCTTTTAGAGGGGCCACCCACTGGTTTATATGCTAAGTTGTAGGGATTTATCTGTAAAATAGATTCATATAATCTCCTATAAAACCCTAACAATAACCACCGTATACTACTATTTTTTCCTTAATCAAACTAATTTTTCAAGAGAATCCTCTCTGATCCGATTCACAAAGGTTCCACTTCTATGATTCTCAATTCAATTTAACTATAAATTTCTTTCGATCGATATCTATCTTATTTATTCGTAATCCATAAACATTTGAATGCAGATTTAGGTACTTTTCTTCAATAATCCAACATGCCAAAAATCGATTTTGAGGAAGGATGGAGATTTGTGCATAAGGGCATCAAGAAGCTCCAAGACAATCTTGAAGGCTTGCCTGATACTCACGTCACTTCTAATGATTACATAATGTTATACACGTACGTTTCAATTCTTTCTTCTCCTTTTTGTTTTAGGTTTAATTCTTATTTGATTCTATATTTCTTATATCGTGATGCAGAGCCATCTTCAATATGTGCACTAGAAACCCTCATGACTATCGCGAAGAATTGTACGAAAAGTACAAGCAAGTGATTCCTGAGTACATCACATCAACTGTGAGAAACATTGCTAAATTAACATCTTGTATATTCACAATGGGATTAAAACTAATACGTAGAATGATTGATTTTGTTATCACAATAGGTAGGCTGTGTTTGGATAATTTAAAAATAACGGAACGGAATAGGATGGAGTGAAATGGAACGGAACAGAATATAAACTCCATTCCACTATTTAGATATTTTACAACGGAGCGAAACTAATATCTCATTCCACTGTTTGGGAATTGGACGGAGCATAAAGCATTATAACTTTTTTATTCCATTTTTACCCTTTGCTACAATATTAATAGATCCAACATTCTCACACTAAAATAATATATAAGTAATCATAGAAAAATATCAACTTAACACTTGAAAGAAATTAAAACATACAATAATAAATTAAAATGTTCATAAATGAAACATGGTTATTATTACTTGAAATTGCAAGACCAAGTGCACACGTTTTGATCAACACCATACTGGGTATTCATAGTAATTCATTTTAGTTTTGCTAAAATTAAATGATAAATATATGTCTATAGTAGATAATGATATCAAGTCTTGCCAGTAAAAAAGACAAATATTGATCCATAATAGATAATGACTCTCTTCTTTAAGCATTCCACAAAACCTGCAAAAATAAAATAAAATAAATTACGCAAATATTTCATTCGTTAAAGATAAAAAAAAAATACTCAAAAGTGATAAATAAATATGTTACCATTATCAAAAGGGATAGTCTGGAACAATGAGATGTAACATTTCCTTCCTCTTATCGATTGGAATTCCAGTAAAAGTTTCAATGCATCAGCATTATTAACAATGTACATGTATACAAGAGGCAAAGAACTTGGTTCAACCCCAATCTCGACCAATTCAGCCCAAATATCTCCACCATTAGCATTTTTACTCTGTTTGACCAGCTCCATGGAATTTATTTCAAACACATCAACCATTTTTTTTTGAAAGTTTTGGAAATCTCAATCATGCTTGTATCATCTTCAATAACCTTCTTTACTCGCTTCTTAGTCCTAGATGATGATACATCTTGAGAATTGGTAATAGAAGGTATTGTAGGAGAATTGTTGGAATGATGTTCATCATCATCAAATCCCTCCAAAATAACTTCATTGGTTTCAACTAAGTGGTCTATTTCTTCGATGGTTGTGTCATGACTTTTTTCAACATTTGCAGCCTTTTTTGCTCTCATTTCAGCAGTTGTACATTCAGACTCTCCTATTGCTCGATCTTTTCCAAAAAGTTTGGCCGATTTATCATAAAATGATATTGGCTTATTTTTTCCATTCAGCAGCTTCGGGTTTTGCCTACACCAAAATAAACGAAACAATGCATCACTTAAAAAGTTTTTAATGAGTGAACTCAAATAAAAATAATCAGGTAAGTGTATAAAACAATTATAGTAAATAATATCTCAATTAGCTTGTTCTAAACTTCATCTTCGGCAATCCACATATTTGTTGTTGAATCCCATCCAAACCCACTCAAGCCATCCTGGAAAAGGTCATAACAAGAATTGAACTTTGTTTTGATGTGTTTCATGTGATCTTTTATATTTTCTTTAGAAATTGGTTTGTCCGGAAAGTGAGTCTTCAATTCTTTAAGAATGCTATCCATAACGCTTGTTGTCATACTATTACCATTTTTATTTCCCAATGTTTATTGATGCAAATATGCATCAAGCAAAACTTCATCCATAGCAGTTGTCCAATTACATGTTTCTAGACTTTTGAGTTTCCTCGGCCTCTTTAAACTTGCTTCCATGTCTATTATTAAAAAACACAATGAATAATATAATAACTTATGCACAAATTCAAATGTAAAGGTTCACCATACACTAAAATTCATTCCACAAATTACAAATAAAAAATTCAATCCAAATAAAATTCTTCAAAATATTATTCATAAGAGTAACAAATCATTAAGAATAATTTTAATAATCTACCCAAATAGAACCAGCAACATTATCTCTAATTGGCTCTCCGCTAATCATATCATCGTTTTCTTCTCTATGATCTTGATGATCCTCTTGAACATCTCTTTCGTTTGCAAGCTTATCTTGCACCTCATCAATTAGAGTTTGATTGGAGTCTTCACCCATCAAATAGTTGTGTAAAATGCAACAAGCAAGGATGATTTTATTTTGAGTTTTAATACCAAATGTAGGCTCTGTTGCAGTTTGTAAAATTGGAAATCTTTTCTTCAACACTCCAAATGCACATTCAATAGACATTCGTAATGACGAATGTCGATGGTTGAATAACTTGCGAGGGTTTCGAAGTGGATTTCTAGAGTATTCTTGTAAGTGGTATCGTTCTCCCCTATACGGTGTAATGAGACATGCTTTTAAAGGAAATCTCGCATCACCCATATAATATTTTTCTAAAAAAAATAATGAGTCCATTAGTTTAGCTAATCTAAATACTTATACAAATATTCAGGAGCCAAAGTTTTTCTGTCAAATACCATATAAACACTGTCAACGGTGATCTCAATACCATTTTCAAGTATATCCCATGACTTATCATAAAGTCCAATGATATACGTGTACATCTTGCTTTTCCACCATTCAAACTCAATAGAATCACCACTGAACGCAAGAGGTTTAACATAGTAATGATTTCTCTCAGAACCACTATAATCATGGGGAAATCCTCTTCCTGAGGTACTAGAACTAGGATCCTCAATATATATATTTTTCTCTCTGGATCTTTGATTGTACCACTGTTAAGTGTTACGTACATACCTTGCTCTAATGTCAACTGAAGGTGAGAAAAATACACAAGAATGAAGGGTAAAATTATTTTTGCCAAATTGTTTCTACTTCTGAACCAGAGTTCAGAATCTAAATAGAAGTTCATAAACTTATAACAAGTGCAGCAGATAAGATAACAGAAGAAAATAAAAACAGGCAAAGAACACACAAAAGTTATCATGGTTCCTCTCCAACTGAGAGTAGTTCAGTCCCCTTGCAGCACAAAAGATTACAATTGCTTATACTTCTCAAGTATAATACTTTCTTCTGCTCAGAACTACAACATAAGTCTTCCTCGCTTAATAAGCACCTGATCATACTTCCTGCTTAGATCCTAAGACTTTCCTACTTAAACACCTCAAATTCAAGACTTCAATGCGTATACCCTTTGAGTATAAGACTTCCTGCTTATACCTGCTATCCAAGACTTCCTACTTAGATTTTATGAATCCAAGACTTCAACGCTCAAGCCCAAGGCAAGAGACTTTTATCTAAACTGACTATTTAGAGAAGGAATAACTTACAACAACACTTGATTAAAAGTCAGAGGTGTTCAAATATAATACAATAGACTTTAACACAAAATATTTTTAAGCTATATAAGAATAATAACCTTTAAAGATAAGCTTCTCTTGAGTTAAAACGAACAATGTGAAGTGTGTGTGTATTTCAATTGTAGTTGTACTGTTATTCTCTTAGTTGATCTTCAATTCTTCTTCTCCTTTTATAGTTGAAGAAATAGAGTCGTTGAATTATTCCAACAACTATATTCAGAGCAAATCTTCTGGAACATCTTCTTTTCCAATAAAGCATGTGTTGGAACTCGTAGCCAATGAATTATCCACTGAACAAAGCCTTTGTCTAGAGATCTCTTTTGTGAAACAAGTAAAATACAATCTTTTAAAGATAATGTCAACTACTCTCGAGTCTTGTGATTTCTGAGCTTGAGTTAACACGTTATCAGTTTCAGAGGCATGGTTAGCACGCTTCTGATTCTGAATTGTACAAGACATATCTTTCTGATTAGACTTTTTCATAAGAACTTGATCAGAACCGAACCAAAACTTCTTTCATGACAGAACTTGTTTCATCAGATAAATTGAATTTTATATACATGAACTAACTAGTTAGAAATCCTAATTGTTCTTCAAATATTTTCTTATCATCAAAACCTTAAAGGATACATGGTATGAACCAAATTTGTTTCAACACGTTCTTCAGAACTGTTGTCTAACAACTTTCTAGATCTTGACACTATTTGTAACACGCTTATTTCTATTCAGAGTCAAAATGTGTTGATTCCAAAATCTGATGATGTCTTTCGTCAATGCTTCAGAGTCTAAACCTGTTTATTAGAAGTTACACACTTGACAAAAACCATTAGTATACAAAATTGTTCTTTGAGAATCAATGTATTGTTATCATCAAAGCTAAAGAACAAACGCAGGACCAAATATTGGTATAACAAATAGTTGATTTAAATCTTTGATGATTATTAGCACTTCAAGGAACACATTTCCACTTTTGAATTTTTTGTGGTTATTAAAACTTTAGAGAACAATGTCAAATGTCACAAACTGCCTTCATCTTCTATTTTACAATAACCTTGGAAGAATAAGTCACTTAGAAGATGCTTTTTATTTCTTTCTTTTATCTCTCAAATACTCCAAGCACTTTGTCATATGAATGCATGTTCATCTTAAAGTATGATTAATCAAGAACAAACTTTAAGGCATAATGTCAGGTTTCCGATTACACTGCATATACCTCAAAATATTGTCAGTTCAATTCTGGATGAATCAAAACATGGATAACATCTTAAACACGATTAATGTTTAAAGAACACACTAGTAAGGTTTGACGTTAAGATAGTTTATTCAATGCATGCAATGAATTATCAGACGTTAGTAAATCAATTTAACATAGTTAAAATTCACTGAATTGCATAAGCTTCCGAACGGATAAAAAATTCATCGAGAATCAAAGGAACCATATCCTCAATTTTGAGTTGCAAGACTTTGATAAAAAGCCTTGCTCGAATACTAATTGTTGGGTGAGAATATGGACACAAAGAGGTCTAGAAAGGGGATCGAATAGACCTATTCCAAAAAAAACATTTTTAAAAATATTTTAGGTCGCATAAACGAAATCAAAGATTTTAAAAAACGCATAAATAAAAGACAACACAAAGAAAATTTAGAAACATCTCAATGAATTAAACCATCTTAATTATTACAAGATATCACTAAGGATTTGTAAGATGGTTACAAGATATCACTAAGGATTTGATTACTTCTAATACAAGTTAAATATAAGACAATTAAAGTCGCTTTAAACAAAGCGATTTAAAAACACTTATTCATTCAAAATATAATTGAGCTCGTAATGATCCAATAAGAATCTTTTAAATTGGGCTATTTAAAAAACATATGTATTTTTTTTAAAGATTTTTTTTAAATGGAGAAAACTTTGATACAATTTCTTAGATATGATTTATACTATTTTTCAATAAAAATATAATAAATTTACTAAAATATCATTTATGGAGTGAAGATAGAAGAAAGTTGGAAATTTTTTTTTAAGTAGCAATGTTATATAATTTAATTACCAAATAAAATAAGCTTTCAACAAAATTACCAAAATGACAATGTGTTGTCGCGACATGAATGGGCGAATGTGGCTAATTTTTAGGGTTTCCAATTTTTTTTTGTTTTTCTTATTTTTTTTATCATATATTTAAAGTTTTAAAAATTTATTTGTTTTTTGATTTTAATATCATTATTATTAGTAACTATAAAATATATTAATTTATAATATAAATAATATTAATATAATTAAAATATTATTATTAGTAACTATAAAATATATTAATTTATAATGTAAATATAATTATTATTAGTAACTATAAAATATATTAATTTATTTGTTACTTATTATTTTCTATGTATTAGACTTATTAATATAATGTAAATAATATGCTAAAGTTAATATTTTTAGTATTTTCTAAACAAATTATTTAGTGTGTTACAATGACACTATAACATTTAAAATTTAAATAATCGTGAAATTCACATCATACTATTAACAATTTAAAAACTGAGCATTTAAAAATTCCATCAATTACAAATTGAAAGAAATATTGTTCATCTTAAGCATCAAAAGAATTTAAGACCCAAATATCCATATTGTAACTTACGAAAAACTTTTAATGAAAAATTAAAATTTGACATCGTTCCAAAGTTTATAATAATCATTGAAAGGTTATATTTATGTTCAACATGATAGTTCATAAATGTTGAAAGGTGAATCTCATGTTCAACATTCTAATTCACCGTTGAAAGGTGAATAGCATGTTCAACATTCGAATTCATGGTTGAAAGGTAAATCTTATGTTCAACAGTTTGGCATGGAAAGATCATGGGTAAATCTTATGTTCAACAGTTTGGCATGGAAAGATCATGGATGGATTGGATGGATATTTTGATGGATGGATTTGATGGATTTTGTCTTAATGGATTCAATTGTCACCTCTAATCTAAAGTATAAAATTTCTCGCTGGCTTTTATATCTTTTAGAGGGGCCACCCGCTGGTTTATATGCTAAGTTGTAGGGATTTATCGGTAAAATAGATTCATATAATCTCCTATAAAACCCTAACAATAACCACCGTATACTACTATTTTTTCCTTAATCAAACTAATTTTTCAAGAGAATCCTCTCTGATCCGATTCACAAAGGTTCCACTTCTATGATTCTCAATTCAATTTAACTCTGAATTTCTTTCGATCGATATCTATCTTATTTATTCGTAATCCATAAACATTTGAATGCAGATTTAGATACTTTTCTTCAATAATCCAACATGCCAAAAATCGACTTTAAGAAAGGATGGAGATTTGTGCATAAGGGCATCAAGAAGCTCCAGGACAATCTTGAAGGCTTGCCTGATACTCACGTCACTTCTAATGATTACATAATGCTATACACGCACGTTTCAATTCTTTCTTCTCCTTTTTGTTTTAGGTTTGATTCTTATTTGATTCTATATTTCTTATATCGTGATGCAGAGTCATCTTCAATATGTGCACCGGAAACCCTCATGACTATCGCGAAGAACTGTATGAAAAGTACAAGCAAGTGATTCCTGAGTACATCACATCAACGGTGAGAAACATTGTTAAATTAACATCTTGTATATTCACAATAGGATTAAAACTAATACGTAGAATGATTGATTTTGTTATCGCAATAGGTATTCTCTCTTGTTCTTTATTTCAATGTTTTTCAATGTTATTTATAATTTATTTATATTTTCAAAACCTGTAAAATATGTACACATTAGCAACGATTTAAAAAAATAAATTATTTAAATATAATTACAAATCATTCTAACGGGATAAATATTGACACTGGATAGTCCATGTATAGTTGATAATCATAAATCATTCATGTGGATACTGGATAAATATTGACCTTATTTTTTATCTTTATCTTTGGTATCTAGAATGATAAAAAAATTGCGGGAGAAGCTGATGATGAAACATTGGTGAATAACACTTTGACTTCCTTTCAGAGATTGGAGAAAATATGGAGAAAAACGAACCAAAAGAGTTTGT